TTTGTTTACGTAGTCTGAGAGCTTCTTTTTAAGCAGCTGGCTGGAAATGGAGATGAAGGCAGTCTTAATTCACTTTTAATAAAAGATCAATGGGTTTATTGTGAAAAAATAGAATACAGATGTAAACTGTACCTGATAAAAGAATTAAATGTGTGTTTAACCTTCCTATTTTGTTTTTTCAGTGCTACTGGTGCTTGACCTTCTTCGTTTTTGAGACTATTCTCTTTCTTGGTAGTTTTACATTTTAAATTTTACTTAGGCTACAAAAACAAACTCTGCTGGTGTTTTTCATCTCAAGTGCTTACCAAATCCCTCAGATTTTACAAAATATTTAAAAAGTAATCTCCAGACTAAATTCTCATTAAAACCTTTGCCCTTCCTGTGGAAGAAAAGTTCAGAGGAGTTCTGGTCGATTCTGATTTGGAAACTGTAAAACAAAAAATATCATGGTGTGAAGTATTAATTTAGGCTTGGCAGCCTCACTGTAAAATTTATTTCCAGAAGTTTCCAATTAAAATGCAGCATGTCTAATAGTACAAGGGAAAGCACCTTAAAGGCTCTTTCTTTTATATTATATAGGAGGAAAAATGCCCCAAACATTAGTGAAAATAAAAAGTCTTGGAGGTATTTTTTATTAAACAGTCACGTTTATATTGCAATGAGTTCACTTGGTAGAAGAAACCATGTACTCAAGAATTTCTTAGCTATACTAATTTTCAGTATTGCTTTTTAATCAAGCCATTTGATAGATTAGTCAGATGTTTATAAAGGTGCAATTTTTTCTTTTGGTTTTCTTTATATCTTTATTATACCTTGTGCTTTCCTGCTCTTTGAACAATGCAGTTTTGATGTTTCTCCTCTGTGGCCCTTTCCCCCTGTTTCAAAGGAGAGAAAGCAAAATTAGAAAGAGGACAGATTGACTAGGATGGCTGAACGTATAGAATACCTTATGTAAGAGGATGCAGTGAAGAATTTAGGTCCCTTCAGAGTGATGGACGTACCATATTTGTCTGTAAATTCATGAGTGGCATGGCAATAAGGCAACGATTGTTCACTGCATTTCTGTAATAGAGGTAGGATTGGTCAGCAAACAGAACTACAGTTTGCAGATTGAAGTAAATCAAAGCAGTTGTTTAGGATTATTGAATGGCAAAATGCATTATTACTGAAGTTATCTTGTTGTGGAAGGATCTGTATTGCAAACTGTTGGAGGTCAAGAGAGTATTGGCAGAGTAACACTACATGCTTATACTGTTCTTTTAGTCTTCACTGAGTATTTTCTATTGATGGCTGTCAGAGATGGGATATTTGACTATACAATGGACATCTAGTATGACCTGCAGTGTCTGTTATGTTATAACAGCTCAAAATGTGTTACTGTTCTGTCTCAAGAAGGGTGTTTCTGGATGTCCATGAAAATTCTAAACAGCATCAAAAATAATGAAATTTTAGGCAAATGTATTTTTTTATTTCCAAAAACACTTCAAAATAGCATATTTTAAATCTTGTTGGATATTTCTTGACAAAATGTAGATGCACAGACAGAAATATGTGCAGTTGTTGTACGTTGACAGAGTGCATTTCATCAGCAGGTGGTATTGGATTTAAGAAGCTGAAACGTAAGACAAGTGCTTAGGCACGGTCTGTTAGATGATACTTTTTGTTGAAAGTCTTGTAGTTAAGTATTCCCAAGGTGGTCTGGACAACATACACAGTGCTACTGTGCAAGAGCTTTTATATTATGACATAAAAGAAAGCAAAATGTTTTCAGTGTGGAATTTTACTATAGACAGAATTACTTCTGAAATGTATGCTAATTTAATCTAATTTAATTAATAATTAAAGCCAAAGAAAAATTATTTTCAAAAACAGTTTTGCAACTCTGATGAAGTTGTTCTACTGTGATAAATAGCTCTGCAGCAAGTTCCCTTCAGGAGATCCCCTTTCTATTTTGGATTTATGTCAGGTGTATACTGCAAATCAGCAATATTAAGAATAAGAAGGAATATAAATAGTATGCTTAGAGGCAATTTTTTTAAGATGATGTAATCATTTTAGAGTGAATAATTAAATTTGAACATTTTTCTTGAAGTACCGGTGCTCCTGTACATGAGGCAGAATCTGGCTGTGTTCCCTGGGAGAGGAGGGGAAAAAACAAGTGAGGTGGATTCATAGTTGTTTGTTTTCATGTTGAGATTTTAAACATTTTTAAGAAAGTAAATTAAGAGTAAGTGCTTGGGGGGGGGAGGCAAAAGCCCTTAGAAATTATTGCATTTGATTTAACAAATTCTGTGGATTCCCTTTTTAATTCTATCAATATAGACACAGTGCCAATGCTATTCATTGGGAAACTCGCCTCGGTATGTCTCTGTGTTCCTACTTCCTCCGTGGAATGAGTCATGGGATGTGGGTTTAACCAGTAGTGTAAATAAAATGCCTTTATGGGAGAAATATCTGACTTCTAGTATGTTTGGAAATACTTTTAGAAAGGGAGGATATTGAAGAGCATCAATGGCTGGTTTAATTTTTACCTCTAATTACATTGTGTGTCACTGGTCAGTGATGTGTCATCACCTCAGCCTCACATATCTTCAGGGAAGTTTATTAACAAGATTCTAAATTTTCGGGGAAGAAACCATCTATAGGAAGTCACCTCAGAACGATTTCTTCCTTTTTCCTTCCCAAGTAGTGTATTTTGAAGCCTAAAATAAATCCTGAATCTACAGTGATGGATTGGAGAATCAAATTTTCCCATTACTGTTTTGCTCAGTACTAAAGAAGCTCTTTTTTGTTATAACCAAACTAGTCTAGTAATGCTGCAATGCAGTTAATTTTCTACATCCCATTTTATGACAGAATATGACATAGAAGTAATTGGGAAATTTACAATAGGGCTGTGTAGTGATATGATTTTCATGTGTGGGATTCATAAATGTGATATATTTCAAGATGTCTAGGACAACGGTAAGTGACTGGGCAATCTTTACGTATACCCATGAGTATTCCCATGCTACTAGGAAAGACTAATCTGCCCCCTGGTACTTTCTGTGCTTAAGCGACAGCTCAGAAAGATGGTTACTTAGCTATTTCTGCCTCCTTGGCCAGTTGAGAAAATGTCTTCAAATCAACAAGTAGTTATGTTCTAATTTTTTTAAAATCTGACTGAAAAGGCCTATTTTTTCCCTAAGTCCTTAAATTGTTTTGTCTGAGTAATGGTGACTAAAAGTGTTCTTTACGCATTACCTTCACATACCTTTCAACTATTTCTGTTTAGATAGCGTAACATTTCAAAGCGGTTTATTTAATAATGTCATTTCCATTCTCTGGCTTTAGAGGATTTTCTAAGGCCTTGAGGTTTAAGCTTCTGCATGGAATTGGAGGAATATTGTTTTAACTTAATATAGAAATTTGCATTTAATTAAAAAAAACCCCAAAAACGAACAACAGTAGTTACAAGTCAATCCTGAATGTTTTTCAAATGAGAAAATCAGAGTCATACAGACTCATTTTGGAAAGATGCATCGGGTATTTGACAAGGTTCAGCATGAAGCTTCCCCCCCCCCACGTGGACAGTTATGACTTTGTTTTTATGAGAGAAAATTTTTGTATTTCTTACTCAACAATTTAAAGTTGGTGAGAAATACATAATGAAAAAAAGTTAATTCTGCTATAAATATTGTGAAGAGTTGAACAGTAAGAGAATAAAAGGAATTGGGAATCTGCAAGCATTCAAAAAATGATGGTTCTGATTCTCCAAAATTGGGTGTTGCAGCATAAGGGTGTGTCTAAAAGAATAGCAGAGCTTGCGAATGAGACTTTTTAAAATACGTCTTTATCACCAGACTGTAGTCACAGTAATTATCTATGTCCCTTCCCAAACATTGGTCAGCTTCATTCGAGACCACTTTGCATTTTCATAGTAGATGTTGGGAAAAAAATCAACTTCATATCAAGATGATCATCTTCGTTACCTATTTAAAATTATCAATATGAAGAACTCTTAATTGCATCGACTGCAGGGTGATTTCTTATAACGCCCAGTCTTTTAACTGTTGCCTCAAGACCTGTATAATTGAGATCCTTAAACTTTTTCATTTTATTTATTGTATGTCTGTTTTTCAAACTGATATGTGTAATGAATTTTCAGTTTAAACATTAATTTGATATTACCACCATATGGCTCTGAACATTGAGAGGGTATGGATTAAATGACTAATAGCTCAAAGACAGATTTTTTTACCTAAGTTATAGGCCGATGAATAATCTTATTTTAAATCAAATGAAGATCTGATTAGAGGAGGTGGTTATTGCTGAGATGGTGATTTTCTGTGTAGCTGAAGGGAAAATAATTATGGCTGTTCAGTTTCTGAGAATGTCTGCAAAGAATATCTTTTTAATAAATCAAGAAAAAATGGTAGAATTCCACTAATCATTACCTGTAAGCTATTCCAGGAAAAACTCCATGAATTAAAAAGAAAATCTAACTATTTAAGAAGCAGTGAACAAAATGCTTCATCACTAACGCAATAAAAATAGCATCCTGCTTACTGTTAAATGTTTCTTTCTATTAGATTTTTTTTTTTGGTCTCCATTATTTGCTAGAATGACCAACACTTGAGCTGCTTTTGGAGGTGCTGAGATTTTTAGTGTTGGCACCAGCTCAGCAGAACTCTAGAGGATAACTTAAATACAGAGTTTCAGTAAGCAAAGCCAAAGCTTTTCTAGTTCATCTTGGACACCGTTAAAACGTGTTATGTTACTTTTACATTTTCTTCAAGTGCCAAGGTTAAGTTTGTATTCCTGAAATGGTGCTGAAATTACTAAAGGAGTAAGCCTGTGATTTCAGTGAAGCTGTTTCTGACTCATTTGGTGTAGATTAGATTAAAACTATTCCTTGTTCGTAGGAAAATCTGGAAAGTTGTAGCCAGGGTGTTCTTGTGCAACTGATATGAATACTCTCTCTTCCCTTTTTTTTTTTTTTTTTCTTTTCTCCTTTCTAGGGTCAGTATAGGCCCTCTGACTTGTTGTGTCCGGAGACATACGTCTGGACACCTATTGAGCAATGTCTACCCCTGCTCGAGCATTCAAAATACTGTCGATTCAATCAGGATGTAAAAGCAGGTAAGTTTACATGTAATGATAGGTCTGTAAATTGTCTGTCTTGTTTTTATGATGTATTGGTGTCATCTGCTGCTGAAGCATTATGGAAATCTTATCTGTAAAGGATAAAAAGTGTAAAATTCACAACTCCTCCAGCAAGCATTAGCAAATAGAGAGTTTTACCATTTAACGTAAAATAAGCAATACAAATTTTAAGTACATTCTGGTTTACAGACTATATGTAGTTCAAAATTAACACATATTGCTGCCTTACAGATAATTATATTCGTTATTCTGTGCATTAACAAAACCGATCAAACAATTATTCCTCCTTTAGATTCCAGTCGGATGAATGCATAAAGAAAGGAAATTAAAATCAATACAGGAAAGTGAAAGGGATGGAGAAGCTTAAAGGCATCAAATGCTTTTGTTAAGAAACAAACCAGCAGATTTAGTTTAACAATCTGTCAGAGAATTTGAAGAATACAATGAACAGCAGAAACACCTTAACATTTTGAAGTAGATGGGATGTAGACTTTTATATTCTGTAAAATAGATACTTAGTGATTTGCCAGCATAGAATTGTCAAAAATATTACTGCCCAGAACATAATACGGTAATGATACTGTAAACCAATGCAATCAAATGGAAAAAAATACATGTACTTGCTTTAGCTACTGACCCTGTGAGCTGATTGCAGGCCCCAAGGGAGCTGTGTTAGAGAATGTTTGGTGTGGTGCTTGGGTGGAAAACAAAAAACTGATTTAACTTTTTTTATTAATTGCAAATTGCTGAATAGCTGCTTCTTGAAATTTTCTCTTTCCCCACTGAATAACAGTTGCGAAAGGTTATGGTATTATTCAGAGGTGTCGGTGATTAAGCTCATACGTAACTACATAACATCATGGTCTGTTTCTAGCCATCAAAATACAGATTTACCTGTCTCTTGACTTTGAGTAGTCTTCAACAGCTGCTGCTTTCTTTTTATTTTTCATGGCTGTAGTTTAATAAAATTTTCATTCACTAGCTGGTTAACTGTTGGAAGGGCAGGATGTAGACAAATGAAAGGAAGTTGAAGAGAGATGACCACTCAAGCAGGATTGTGAACTTCTGGAGAAGCTGCTTCAGTTTCTTGCTTTTCCTCAGTCTGTGTATGTTACCGTTTGTGCTGTGACTTGGTTGCTCAAGTGGAACACTAAGATAATAATGCTTCGTAACTGTAAATGTTCTGAAAGGGTAATACTCTAGTTAAAATAGTACAGTAATGAGATGAAATACATTTCTAGATATAGATACTGATTTAAAAGTTTTAGTAGCACAATTATGTTCTGTGTAAATAGAGAATGTTCTTTAGGGATTGTGCAGGTAGCCGAGTGATGACAAATAGGCTGGGGAGCATGCTTGGATGCTCTTTGAAAAGAGTGTCTGTCACCACGGGAAAAGGGTCAATGCATAAGAGATTTAAACGGACGGCACATCATGTTTTGGTCAGCTAGAATCATCGTTACATTGGTGAGAGGAAATTGGAAAAAATTTACAAAGGTAGGAGCAAGAAGGGAAATGGTTTTGGAGGCCAGTGGTGTTCAAGATGCTCTTGTTACTCAGAAATAAAAGGAAGTGTATTCATTTGAGCACAAAAATGACAACTAAACTACTGCCTTTGAAGGTGTTAACCCCGTACAAGCAAAGGGGCATCATCTTCTTGGTTCTGTGAAGTTCCTGTGGCATATCATGCATTTGGAAACTGCAGGATATAAAACTTTGCGTCATTATCAGCACAGAATATCTCACTCCAGACACTACTGGAACTGAGACTTAATGTCCTGTGGTTTAAGGAAATCAAAACATAGCTACACATTGAAATGCACTGGACCTGCTGTGAGCTTATAGTCATTTGAGGTTTAAGTAATTTCTAGCTCTAAGGAAGCTATTTCTCAACAGTAAAATCAGTTTCCTTCTTACTTCTTTACTCTCTGCAATAGTCAGTGATGAGAGTTTAATGAAGTTACAGTGAATTTAAAAAAGAGCAATAGGAATGATGGTGTGCTTTATTTCTCTTGAATCAGCTTTCTGTAATACTGCCCATAATTATGTCAGTTAAGCAGGTCATGCTTTATCAGGAGTGGGACTTCTGATGTAGAAACTGAGGGCAATAACCAGATCCAGTAAACAACTGGGAGAAATAGTGCGACTTGCATTACTGCCTGGGCCAATAAAACAGTCAATGAAAATGGTCATCTTTTAATATTGTCTGTCATGTCTGAAAATTTCTGAAACATTAGCTCACACTAGTTTGTTCATCATGTTTGGCAATTTTTGAACTTCTTTTCCCTCCCTTTAAAAAAATTTAAAAATTACCTAATAAATTTACCAGTTGCAGGTTATGAAAATGCATTATAGAACAGCAGTGAGTGCTACTTCAGGAGAGGGTGCTATGCGCTCTGACCTTCCAAGTCTCTGCAATATGAAAAGGATTTCTGAGTATTCATACGCGTTACATTGCAGAGCTCCTTCCTATAATCAGATTTATTTTTTCTTTTCTGAAAAAAAAAAAAAAAGTAAAAGAAGAAAGAGATGCTCACAAAAAGTAGCAAAATTCTTCTAAAGTATCAGAAAATATTAATTTATATTTCCAGAGGATTTTTGCCTGTTTTGCATTATGTGGTTGTCCCGAGCTTGAGCATTTTCAAATGGTTTTAAAGTGTATTGTTTTCCATCCCCTTCTCCTTTGATGTCTAATACTTTTGTTGGAGAATGAAGAAGAGGGGACAGACAAACTAAACAAAGTTCTTAACTCTTTATACCACAGAGATAAGTCTAAAAAAGTGTCTAACCGTTAATAACTTAAAAAAGCAATCATAGGAATGATAATAACTTTTAATTGTTTTGGATGGCAAATCATGGTTGAAATAGGTCCAGCTCTTTCCTACTACGGAAAGTGTAGGAAAGTCCTGGCCAGTGTAATGAGACTCAATCTTACTTAACCTCAAAACACTTCGGTCATACAGAGACAACGATGAGGTCTTGTGCCAGCAAACTCTCAAATCTGATATTTAAATAAACTGCTAGTAGGCTCTTTATGCGTAGTTCCTAACATGTATTGAAAACCATCAGTTACTTCAGAAAAAAAAAATTCCATAGCAATGCTCAGACAGCACTGATGGATAAAAGGTCATGTTTGTCAAATATTCTTGCTTTTATAAATTACCAGGTTTGCCTAAATTGCTCATGCCTCAGAACAAATTTTTCGTTTTTGTTGTTTGTTCAATTTGGAAAATTCAAAAGACCTGGCATCATCTTATAAATGAGAGAGGTTTATTAGGATTCTGATGTGTTTATTATTAAATAGTGGCCAGTCATTTACTTACAAATAAATAAGCAGTTAGTGAGGTAGGGTAGTAATAGAGGCTTCGGATACTGATGCATTCTGAAAATTGAGATAGTGCTAAAGGCTAATGACCTGTTAGATGCAGTTTACTTTGTAAGAACAAACCCTATGTGGAATGAAGCTGTAAGTACAGATGGAATTATGTTGAAGAAAAAAGAAATTAATTAAAAGACTGCTCTGCAGGTAAGTATTTGTCAGTGACTTTGACAACATATCAAAACTGATGAGCAAAATTCAGTCACGTGATAGTGTCTGCTAAAATATTCCTGGGCATGGTCTGTCTGTCACTAGTTAACTTCCTCCTCTCAGAACTGGTCTTCAGGGTTTTACTTCATTGGTACTTTAACTAACAGCTTTGCCCATGGAACAAACAGCAGTATGAAAAGAATTATAAATAATTTACTTGGTATCCTGGCAATACTTTTATCCTTCCACTTTCCATTTTTCTGAGACTAACCAACTGACATGTCTTTTTTTCTAACATCTGTTGAGAATTTCAGTTTTTGCTCCTGAGAGAAGCCTGTGAAAAATGTCTTCATAAAGTAAAAATCTTTATGAAAATCTACTTTTGGGATGGTAATTAAATTAGTGGGAAACTTCAAATCTTTCTTCCCATCACCACTGGACTGTCAACACCTTTAAGAAGCAACTTCAGATAAGGGCAGATATAATCCCAATCTAAAGTGGTGGCTTCAAAGCCTTCATAGTTTTATAGCCTCTTGACTGTGTCATGTAATATGGGGTGTGCGTGTGCCAACCAGGGCGAACAGGGCGCTTCTACCCAAGTGAAAAAGCTATGCTTGATCTGAATTGCTAGGCATGGCCCACAGCAGTCTCAGTGGTAGAAGCTGCTTCCCACCTTCCTGTGTCTGCTGCTTTGAGCAGAAGCTTTGAGTAGTGCAGATCAAAAGGACTTCAATGCTTTTTTTTTTTTCTGGACTGATTTGTTTGCTGAAGTTGATAAATTGGCTAAGCTAATACACATCTGTTCAACTTCCTGTATATCTAATAATAGAGTGAAATCAAAATGGAATCGAATGGAATACATTAATTAAAATGAAAGTACTTTCTTCAGTGTTGAAAAATACACGACAAAGGCATACATAGACTCTTCTATGTTGGCTTTGTGTGTTCTTGGAGACAAGACACTCTTTGCTCCAGAGAGTATAGTCTAACGCAAACCATGATGGATGCAAATGGATGGTATAAAGAAACAGAGAAGCACTTCTGGTTTGTCTGGTCAATTATAGTAATAGACTAAATTATAGTCTATTAATAGACTAAACTGACTAAACTGTATGAATTTTTTTTGTAAACATCACAGTGAAGGAGAGTTTTGAAGAGGGATCTAAGGAAGTACATTAGTTATCTTTTAGAGTTTATGGAGAAATCTTTTGCAGCATGAGAGGTGTAAGAGAAGTGAAGAATATGGGGAGACACAAAGGAGTTTCATTCAAAACCAGATATACTGGTCTGGGATATCAGATCCCATAGTTAGTCTGAGGTAGAACTTGCATTACTGCCTGTAGGTGCTAGGAATGAAGATGGGGTTGAGACAGACCGTGGAAAGCTCTAGAAGTGAGGTTGGTCTGATGTGATTAGAGTATAGGTAGCTGGTAGATACGTGCATGGA